GACTTAGTTATGATATTTTTAAATTTTGATTTGTCGAACAAATTGGTGTTATATATATAAATATATATTTAATGATTGATATTTTGAGCTTAGTTATGATAGAATTTGATTTAAAACGATGATAAATTGGTTTACTAAATGTGTGTCAGGTAATTATTTTATACAAATAACACTTTATATTCCAACGAATTCGTAATGATTATATTTAAATTAAATATATCATTTTAAACATAGTTATTACTTTTTCTCCTATAATTTTTTTATTATAATTTTCTTGAGTGTGCTTTACTTTATTTTAAAGAAGCCAAACTGGGAGTAGGTGGACGTGGAGGTCGAAACGCAGTAAATTTCAAGCGTTTCATCAATGTCACTGCAAAAGGACTCCTCGTCCTGGTGGCACACGCATATCCTTTTGTATTTAAAATGTTTGCCTGCCTTCGCCTGATGAACACGGAGCAGAGCCAAAAGTTTCTTCTGCTTTTTTTTTCTCAATTTGTTGTTTTTTTTCGCTCTCCGCTCGCAACAATTTCATTATCTGCGGAGAAATGGAGAAATGGCAGCAAGGGAAGCTGGGGGAAAGTGAGTGATAGGGCAGTTGTTGTGTGACAGGCGACACGCCGCAGCAAGTGGCAAAGGACTCGCTCTCGCTCTCGTCCCCGTTTCCCATTCCCTTTCCTTTCGAAGGCTCCAAGGACCGAGCAAATTTTTATGGCAAAAACTTTTTCATAGCATTTTTCAGAGCATACATTAAGGCGCTGATTCATGTGTGCACAGTAAGGACTGGCTAAATTGGCCAATGCTTAGGAAACGACTTTTGAGAACTTTTTAAAAATCAAAATATTTCAAAAGAAAAAGTTGTGTATTTATGCGAATAAATTTAATGAGGTTTAATGGTGTAAGAAATGTGCTATGTAAGGGGTTTAGTATTTGTTTATTAAATAAGAAAATTTGTGAATAATGAATCTATAATGTGATAAATAAATGTGTTTCAAGTGAGAAATAGTTTGCTAAGGCACCTAACGAATTTAATAACTGTTTATGGTTATTTAAAGGCGTCTTTGTTTTTGTTTCATTAAAGATCTTTAATTAATTTAGTCTCTAATTAAGCCATAAATATTTACTTTACTTACCACAAATATTTAATTACCCGCTCAACACCCAATTAAGAAAGTTTATAATATAATCCTGAGATATTCGTTTGTTTAAAAGCTTAAAATTAATTATAGATGCTTCAGAGGCATTCTATATTTATTTCTAGCTTACTGTATACTTGGGGGCGACAACCCAAAAGTGGGCGTGGCTGCAGCGATAATGCGGCGTTAATACGCAGCAGAAAGAAAAACAGGAGTTGGGAAAAAGAAAAGCATCCTGCGGCGCATTTGCATAGGCTTAATTTAAATTCTCTTAAACAGCAGCCCCGCCTAGGACTGTGTGTGTGGATAGGCCCGAAAAAGGACAATGATCGTTGAACCTTTTTTCCACCGAAAAAAGGAAAACGTAAACTTGGACAGAACGAAACCGAAGAGACCCCAGACCAAAAGAAGCGTGGAAAATCAGAGAAAAACAAGGCGAAAAGGTTGCACCCCTTAAGTTTGGCCAAATAACTGCAGGCGAGCTCTGGTAAACTCATACACACGCAGAGACACGCTCAAGAAAGGATATTCCAGGGAATAAGCACGGGACACTGGAGACCTTTGAGCAGCGACATAACAAAATCAAAAGGATTTTGCGTATAAGTTGCAAATTAAGTTGCCCTCGTCCTTGTTGCTGTTGTTGCCACCTCCACTTTCACTTTCACTCTCATTTTTACATTCACATCCACGCCCAGTTTTTCCCATTTGTCCGTGTCCTTGTTTCGCTTACTCCCCAACCACCTCTGTCTTTGGGGTTTCTCTTCCGTTATTTGGGTTGTTTCCTTGCGTTTCCAACTTCATCATCTTATGTGCTTATGATATCCTTTTGGCCCCTGCGGCCAAAGAACAACAACCAGGAACAACAATAACAAAATGTGAAACATGTCCTTGGCCTCGGCACACGCTTCCTATTTGGGTTAAACTTGTCAACGATTGTGTGGCATGGGTTAAGGATTGAGTGCTGAGACTTTAAATTAACAGATGGATATCTAGGAAAGGAGAGAGAAAGAGAGAAAGTTTCTGAAGGAGAAGGCGCGTGGGAAGATCCTTTTTCAGTCATCAGTTTAAAATTAAATATATCATGCTTTGGAATATTGTATTTATTTTTCTGGGTTTTGAAGTATTTGATGATATATATATCCTTTTTTTGTAATAAGTATGTGCTTTAATTTTACTCAAACAAATCCTTGATTAGCTTGCTTATTGAATAGGAAAATCCTTCGATTAGCCAGGTAAATAAACAGCTTGAATCGGAACTGGTGCGTGAATAATCAATAATGCGATTAGATTCGAAGTTATAACCAGCAAACAATCTAGGAAATCATTTTAAATACTTATATTTCACAATTCCTACATTAATTCTGACTTAAAGTTATAATTAATTACTCTGATACTTATATATTTATATACCCTTGCAGGGTATTCTAATCTTAGTCAGAAACATCAAACGCATTGATGTAGTCATTTCCGACCCCATAATTCATATATATTCTTGATCAGCATGAAAATTAATTTTTAAAAAATTTTGAAATTTTAAAATTTCATTAAAATTGTAAAAAATTTATAAAAATTTGAAATTTGTAAGATGTTAAATCGAGTATGTAGATTTATTAACCTAACTAAAACTAGCATAGGACAGCTTTCCAAATTGATATTAAGGCATTTTTGGCTAAGTTATGAGTTTTTTAAACTTTGATTAATCGGTAAAATTGTCATATGAGAATATAGATAAATACCGATTAAAAAAGTCATATATTTTAAGCTTAGTTATGATTGATTTCCGATTCGTTTCTATAATATAAATTATGGCTTCGGAAGTTAGTTTCCTTTCTGTTTTAATATAAATTCAATCCCATTTCATTATATTTACTATATTATTATACCTACTTAATATTTTAGTCCCAAAAGAACCCACTTCAAAGCTTTGTAAATATGAAGTTAATATCTGACAGAGTAAACGCACAGAAAGGCAATGTGTATGAGGCTTATCTAACCATTCGAATATTCTGCGGCCGTTAGCCTCTGCCCCAAAATAAAAAAAAAATCACTGAAATCCTTTAATTGAGTGCACACTTAGGGCAGCAAGCCAGCAGACGGGAAAAAGGAAAAGAAGAAAAATATGTATATATAAAAGGGGGAAGGACTCACAAGCACATGGGTAGAGCGGGTCCTTGCCGCCTGAATGCTGCCTTTTTATGCGCTTTTAGCGCCATTATCCTTTTACGATTATCGCCGCTAAAGCGAATTGACTGTTTGACGTTCAATTGAAATTTTGCATTAAAGCTCAATGGCTTAACCCCTTCAAATTATGCAATACGTTCCCGGGATCCGCACATCCTTCGTCCTTCGAATCCTGTGAAACTCCGCCATCAGCAAACGCAATCCCAGTGCTGAGCCCAAGCAGCTTTCAGCTGGCAAATGGATCGGGGACTTGCAGGGAGGCTCTGCCAAAAAGGAGCGAGGGTGGTAAGGATGGGTGGCAAGGATTGGGGCCTGGGATATGGGGGCGAAGCAAGGATACTCGGCTGCTCACAGATCCAAAGCGATGCCAACGGAACAGAACGGAACGGAACGGAGCGAGCATCGAATGGCAGCCAATTAGCGCGCATTGCTCATACGCCGCGTTTGTCATGGCAGCCAGACGCCCACACATACACACACACACACTCACTCACTCACTGACACACACATAGAGGCTTCCAGGCCCTGACACACATATGCATGAGTAGGATGTACACTGTAGAAAAAATATATATAGAGTGTTCATTTAAAACTATCATAAAGAATGTTCACTCTGACAGAAACAGCACAAGTCCTGAGATCTATTTAGACTTAAAATATTTCTTACTTGTGAAACAAATTAACTTAAATTCTCCTTCTATTCTATACTCAAATTTTCCTGCAGTGCATGCCCCTCGCATAGCGGAAACGGAAGTTGTAAGGGGATTTTCAATTTGCAATTGAACTGATTCTGATTTTTTGGCTTGCTTCTTTTGCTCGGCGCTCATTTTATGGCTGACTTGGTACGCCATACTGGGCGGGGTGCGGAAATGTAATCATCGCAATCCGCAGATGGGAATGGGGCTCTGGCTCTGGCTCTGGAAAAGCGAAGGCGACTCTACATATATACTTACATTTAATTTCCACTAATTGAATCGAAATCGATCTCTCGCTCCCTTGCTGCGGAAAAGCGGAAAAAGCTTTCCACCGGGCCTTGACGTTTGCCTTTCGATTGCGGCGTACTGGTGGAGGTGTGAGCCGGGAAATTTGAGCTGCAGTGCTGCTGGATTTTCGGGTTTTCCTGTCGGCCCTGTTGGCTTTGGCATTAATAAACTTTTCCTATAAATCAAAGAAATTATAATTATTTTTTTACCCCTTTTTGCTGTTGGCAAAGGGATTAAGTGCTCAGAGGGAATCCGCAGGAAAATTCGTGAACGGATCTAAAGAAATTGCACCACGAAGGCTTCTAATGAGCAAAACCCGTCAGAGGGTAAATGACTTTTCCGCGACTAGGAAAATTATCGCAATAAGAGTTAAAGGGGGGATTGGGGTGAATATAATCGCTCGATAATCGCAGTCACTGATTTGATTTTGTGGGTGGAAAATAAGCAGAGAAGGCAGCGATAGTGGAAAATAGTATGCAGGGAAATGTAAATATAATTTAGATTAACCTGATATGAATTCCAGTGAGTAGCGAGGTGAAGTGGCCTCTTAACTTTGTTGATGATAAAATCTCATCGATTTTGCAAAATAAATAGAAATATTTTTCCGAGTTTAAATGCTAATAAATCAGCATGTAGGAATTTAGTTCTTTTTAAGGATTTTAGAGAGGATAAAATCAAATTTATATAATTGGTTCACCATGAATTTAAATACTAAAATATATAGATGAAAACTTAAAATTTCACACTTTACAAATAATTTCGACAATCTTTTCCCTACAACAAATCTAAACTAAGAATCAAGAAGCCCAATTAGTATTTGCCAGCACTCTCCTCTATGTCCTTGAAAGTAGTCAGGATATTCTGGTATAGCTTCTCCATCTGTTCCTCCATGGCCTCCTTGCCCATCTTGGGATCTAAGAACTTCATCATGGACAGCTCGTAGAGAACGTTGGCAGCCTGCGTCCGGATCACACTCCAGGTGACACGTGCCTCCTCTCCGGCCGTGTTCTCCACCGCCAGGTTACAAGCGTCATAGAAGGCCATCATATTCCTTAGCATGCCCTCGGTCTTGTAGAAGGGACAATAGGCATCGTAGGTCGAATACGAGTTCTGCTGCAGGAAGTCATCCTTCAGCATCTTGGCCACCTCGAGTGTGATCTTATCGGCCTCGTTTAGGGATGATTTGCCCACCAGCTGGACAATCTCGGACAGGTCGTCCTCTTCCTGCAGCACCTGCTTAGCCTTGGCCCGCAGTGTTGTGAATTCGGGATTGGACTCCTCGTAGTAAGCGTCTAGAACTCGCATGTACTTGGAGTACGACTGCAGCCAATTCACCGAGGGGAAGTGCTTCCGCTGGGCCAGCTTCTTGTCCAGACCCCAGAACACCTGAACTATGCTCAACGTGGCGGAGGTCACCGGATCGGAGAAGTCACCACCGGGCGGCGACACTGCACCCACAATGGAGACGGATCCATGACGTTCCGGGTTGCCCAGGCATTTGACCAAGCCGGCTCTCTCGTAGAAGGAGGCCAGTCGGGCACCCAAGTAAGCCGGATAGCCAGCATCTGCCGGCATCTCGGCCAGGCGGCCAGAGATCTCACGGAGAGCCTCAGCCCATCGTGAGGTGGAATCGGCCATCATGGAAACATGGTAGCCCATGTCCCGAAAATACTCCGACAGAGTAATCCCCGTGTAAATGGAGGCCTCACGGGCAGCCACTGGCATGTTGGAGGTATTGGCCACCAGGGCGGTGCGCTTCATGATGGACTCCATTGTCCCATTCACTTCCACCTCCAGTTGGGGAAAGTCACGCAGTACCTCGGACATCTCGTTGCCGCGTTCGCCGCAGCCCACATAGATGATGACATCCGAGTTGGAGTACTTGGACAAGGATTGTGAGATCACGGTCTTGCCACAGCCAAAGGCACCCGGAATGGCGGTGGTGCCGCCCTGAACGCACGGAAAGAAGGCGTCCAGGACACGCTGACCGGTGAGGAGTGGACTGACACTTGGCAGCTTGTCATCCGCGGGACGACTCTTACGCACTGGCCACACCTGGAGCATGGTGTGCTTTGTTACCTCATCATTGTACTCCGTCTCTATGATCGTATCTTCCACACTGTAGTTACCCGGCGAAGCTAGCCACTTGATGCGACCCTGGCAACGTGGAGGCAGCATTAGTTGATGCTCCATCATGCTGTTCTCGAAGACGGACCCATAGATATCACCGCCGGTAATTAGACCCCCTACCCTAAATTTGCCGGGAGTAAAGGCATACTGGATGTTCCTGGGCAGGCTGGGCACATCGATGCCCTTGGGCACATAGATGGAGTTGGTCTGCTCGTGGATCGTTCGCAAAGGTCGCTGGATGCCATCGAAGATGCTGCCCATGATGCCGGGACCCAGTTCCACGGATAGCGGTTTGCCCGTTTGGAAAACCGGATCGCCGACACTAACGCCAGAGGTGTCCTCGTACACTTGAATGGTGGCCATGTCGCCCTCGAGACGAATGATCTCACCCACCAGCTGGCAATGGCCTACACGCACCAGTTCGTACATGGCGGCTCCGGCCATTTGCTCGGCATTTACCACTGGACCGGAGACGCCAAAGATTCGTCCCTGATGTTGTGGCTCAAACTCTTCGGTGTCTTCCTGTGAGTAGTTATGCGTATTCACCACTTGCTCATCCACTTCGTGCGATTCCTGCAAAACCAAATCATCGCTTTTGAAGCTCCGCCTGGGTGGTGTTTTCGGTTCCGAGACGTCAGAAGGTGTTTTGGGGCAGATATCCTCGAGGATGGGTCGACAGGGTTGACAGGGTATGCAAGGGGGTTTGGGGGATTGACAGGGTGGACTACGCCGACAGGTGCATTTTTTTGGACTTGCTATTGGCCTGGGCTCAGGTTCCACCAGAGTTTCCACAACAGATATAACCCGCGAAGAATCCGAGGAAGATTTTATCGATTCCACTCGCGGAGAATTTGAGCCAGACTTTATCGATTCCACTCGTGGAGAATTTGAGCCAGACTTTATCGATTCCACTTGTGGAGAATTTAAGCCAGACTTAATCGATTCCATTCGCGGAGAATTTGCGCCAGATTTTATCGATTCCATTCGCGGTGAATCCGAGTCAGATTTCGCTATAGATTCTACCAAAGATTCCGTCCGCGATGAACCCGAGCCACAAGTTTGGGTGTTTGAGGTAATAGGAGCTATCCAAGACTTTTTCCCTTCGTCCTCGGGATTGTCTGAGAGATATTTTGCTGCATTTTCCACCACAGATTTTTTCCGCGAAGTGTCCGAGCCACATGTACCAGTGTTTGAGGTGATGGGAGCAATCCAAGGCTTCTGGCCATTGTTCTTCATAATGATTTTGTTTCGGAACGAATAATTTTAACTTCCAGTTGGATTAATTTTGTCATTAACTGTGTTGAATTTATGTATATTTTAAATCAGGTGGCAGAACAAGAAATGAGCGAGAAGATTGTTTCACTAAAGTTTGTATTTAAATACAAATGTATAAATATTTTAATTATTACTGGAATAGAAATTTATTGTCATTATAATCCATTCTTTTAACTTCAAGATTATCTGTAAGCTTCGGTAAAGTCTTCATTAATTTATATTCGTTTGATTATTTTGTATGTTTTAATTGAATTAAAATTATCAAACAAGGAAAATTAAATATATAAATAATACGTTTAAATAAATATACACATTCCCTTCATCGAAATTTATTGATATAATTTTTGTGAGGGAATAAAAGCTTAAGAAAATACTAAATTTTAGTGTTGAAGCTCTTTTTAAAATATAAAAAAATATATATTTAAATGGAGCAAGAATATATTTAGTTAACTGAATCGGAAATCTTTACTGAATTGCAAGCTTCTTACAAATTATAATATACTGCAAGAATATACAAATGTTATACCAACATATTGAATTTAAAGCATACAAAATTACAAGTATAAATGTATAAAATTTATAATTATAAATTGTAATTAATAATTTAAATGCCAATAAAGCTACACCTTTTCCGATTCATGTTTACCAAGCTTCCAAGAGCTAATAAAAATATATATTAGAAAATTCATTCAACTTAAGGTTCTACCCTCAAGGGGGGAACCAAATAAAATTCACCTTGCACTTACATTAAATGTATTTGTTGTTGCACTTTATTATTCGTACATTTAATATTTTCATACTTTAAATATTTACATAAATTTAACAAACAAACAGGGAGAAAACATGACTTTTTTCACAAATAAACAAGAATTTCCATTCATTAAACAATAATACTATTTATGCATGCATTTGTATTTGTGTCTTTTTTTATGTATGTGGGCGTGTGTGTGTGGGTGTGTGTGTATGTGTCCAAGTACTGTTATAGCTTTTGTTGTTGTTATTGTAAATGGAAGTACGTTAAAGGACGTTTATAAGTTGTGGCTCTGGTTGTTGTTGTTGTGGTTGCCCTCGAGGAGCTGAGCCCTTGCTGGGAAGATTGACGAGGGGCTGATAGAGGCGTGGCTAAGGGAAGTATCAACCGCAGGCCGGAATGTTTACATCTCTTGCTTGGAGCTCCAAGGAGCTGTGTGTTTTGTTGGACTTTTGTTTGAGCATCGCCGTTGATGTTGTTTTTCTTCGCAATTTCTGATTAGGAGGCTTTTTTCGGGATTGGTTTTTCGACTGCTTTCATTTTTAAAAGTTAACTATATAACAAATATAAGATTAGAGTGTAAAAGTAGGGCCACCAACACGGTCGGTCGCTCTAGTCCTCCAGATTTCTGAAGGCCTGCTGCAGATCCTCATGCAGCTGCTCGAAATCGGCCTTGATCTTGGCCTCGCCATCCTTAACAGGGTCCTGTAAATTACGGAAAAATCAAAGATTAATAGATATTTCTTGATCACCTTAAGTTTCGATTGATTACCTTGAACTTCATGGACGAGAGCTGGTACATAATGTTGCCCATAGCCTCACGGATCACGTTCCAGGTAATCTTGTTCTCAGACTGAGCCGTCGACTCCACAGAGTGGCGGGCCAGGTCATAGAAGTCGATGATGTTCTTCAGCATGCCGACGGTCTTGTAGAAGGGGCAGAAACGATCGTACGACGAGTAGGAGTTCTGCTGCAGGAAATCATCCTTCAGCAGCTTGGCCACCTCAAGTGTGATCTTGTCGGTCTCGGCCAGAGAGGCCTTGCCGACCAGCTGCACGATCTCAGACAGATCCTCCTCCTCCTGCAGGATCTCCTTGACCTTGGTACGCAGGGGCACAAACTCGGGGAAGTTCTTGTCATAGAAGTCATCCAGGGCACGCATGTACTTCGAGTACGAAATCAGCCAGTTGATCGAGGGGAAATGCTTACGCTGGGCCAGCTTCTTGTCCAGACCCCAGAACACCTGGACGATACCCAGGGTAGCGGAGGTCACGGGATCGGAGAAGTCACCACCAGGGGGAGACACAGCACCGACAATGGACACGGATCCCTCACGCTCGGGGTTACCCAAGCACTTGACGCGACCGGCACGCTCGTAGAAGGAGGCGAGACGGGCGCCCAAGTAAGCTGGGTAGCCGGAATCGGCAGGCATCTCAGCCAGACGACCCGAAATCTCACGAAGAGCCTCAGCCCATCGAGAGGTGGAGTCAGCCATCATGGACACGTTATAACCCATATCACGGAAGTACTCAGACAGAGTGATACCGGTGTAGATGGAGGCCTCACGGGCAGCCACAGGCATGTTGGAGGTGTTGGCCACCAGGGCGGTACGCTTCATGATGGACTCGGTGACGCCGTCGATCTCCACAGACAGCTCGGGGAAATCACGCAGTACCTCAGACATCTCGTTACCACGCTCGCCGCAACCGACGTAGATGATGACATCGGAGTTGGAGTACTTGGACAGGGCCTGCGAGATCACAGTCTTGCCGCAACCGAAGGCTCCGGGAATGGCGGTGGTACCGCCCTGGACGCAGGGGAAGAGCGAGTCGAGGACACGCTGTCCGGTGAGCAGGGGGTGGTTGGCGGGCAGCTTCTCGGTCACTGGACGGGGCTGACGCACAGGCCACACTTGCAACATAGTGTGCTTGTGATCTCACCATCGAACTCAGTCTCCAGGACGACATCATCGACCTTGTAGTTGCCAGAGGGGCAATGTAGCGGACGGTACCCTTGGCACGTGGGTTGACAATCATTTTGTGCTTGACCAGGGTGTTCTCGTGCACCAGACCGTACAGGTCTCCGCCGGTGATGTGAGAGCCAACCTTGACGTTCAGGGGATTGAATTCCCAGCTGGCCACACGCGACAAACTGGGCACGTTCACACCCTTGGGGATGTAGATGGAGTTGGTCAGCTCGTTGATGTCCTTCAGGGGACGCTGGATACCGTCAAAGATGCTGCCCATGATACCGGGTCCGAGCTCCACAGAGAGGGGCTTGCCGGTACGCAGGACGGGATCACCCACGGTTACGCCGGAGGTTTCCTCGTACACCTGGATGGTGGCCATGTCACCCTCCAGACGGATGATCTCTCCCACCAGCTCGTAGTAGCCGACGCGGACCAACTCGTACATAGCCGATCCCGACATGCACTCGGCGGTGACGACTGAAATTAAGATAGTGATTGATCGGATTAGTTGGGTTTGTTATAATTGCTTATAAATATATTCTGATTTCATTTTTACACAATTACTTAAAGAGAGTATTTTGAAGCTATTTTAATTTAAATGAAACTTTATCGCCATAAACCATAATGGTTATTAGCTTTTCGCAATCAAGTTAAGCTATTAGATCATTTCTGAGCCAAGGTCCTTCTTTAAAATATATTTTTAAACCCCGGAACGTGCACTTTTTATTAATTTTTATTTGATGAAATTTTTAAAAGATTGTTTAATATATCATTATTAAATATCATTACTTTTAAGTGAGAGAAAAACTTAAGAGAACTTCCTCAATATCCCATTAGGGTTAACCTTCAATTTAAATTAACGGAAAACTCTATAATTTTTATTATGAGAACCCTTAGTTTCTTCACTTAAATGTTAATCATTTATAGATGATCTAATATAGTTAATAATTAATATTACTTACCAGGACCAGAGACAGCGAAGACACGTCCATATTTGGACTCACGCTCCTCATCATCGAATCGCTTGAGGTTTGACATTTTGTTTTATTCTGGTTCAACGACTGCAAAGAATAAATCAAATAAAAAGGGGGAAAATTATAAAATGAAAATCCAGCGAAGCAGGGGAGATAGTTACAGGTGAAAATTTTCTTATCACTAATTGCTAGTTGGCCCTTTTGTCAGCTGACAAGCAACAGGTGTAAGCGAGTGCCTCTCTCTTTCGCTGGGTTTCCCATACAATTTATGGAGAATTTTCTACCTGATTTAAGGTTATAAAATCGTGTTCGATCTACTGCTGTTAGACTACTAATTTTTAGTGATTTGTCGATTTTTAACTCCCCCGTTCTTCGATAATGCTGCGTAAAACTTTAAAAGCAGAGCTTTCGTTTCACGTGACAGAGCTTTGCGCAAGTTCGAAAAGTAATTCTGTTCACTAAAGCGCTAAATAAATAAAATAAAACTCAACAATAACTGTTGAAAAAACACTATCTACTTTATGAAATACGAAATGTAACTGAAACACTCGCTTGACAAAACCAAAATATGCGGGTTGTATTTTATCTAAAAAATAGGAAATAACAAGAGAGAGAGCGGGGGAAGTTACGCTCTTTCTTGCTCTTCCTCTCTCCATTCGAGTTCGAATATTTGACAATTGCTTTTTGACGTTGATCACAAGACTACTGTCATTGCTGTCAGCTGACAAATGAAAAAAGTGGTTAACGAAAAAAATTAAGAAATCTTAGGGTTGCCTATTCATGGCTTGAGAACCACCACCATATTGGATACATTGGTTATTTATTCAAGAACCCAAGAGGCGTACAACTTCAGTTCGAATTTCGAAATGAGCGGCGGCAGCGATCACAAGACCCACGGTGCGAGCGGGATGGGGCGAACACGGGGAGCGGGGTCAGCTGACAAGGCAAAATAATTTTCCACGCGCAGAATTTTCACGTTCGTAGACCGCACTTTTCGTGTTGCATTCAACACTGGTATTCTTTGGGGATTTTTAAGCTTGTTCTGCACTTGTGGGTGTGTCGACGGCTGCATTTATTATCTAACACCAATGCAGGCGCTCTGCGTGTTTTCGCTCCCCGCTTTGATCGCTGCTTCGTCACTTTTTTTCGAGGCGAATTCAAGGTGGAATTTCGGATAAGATCGCCGCTTTAATATTTAGTGAAATTACCCGTTTTTAACTGTTATTTGTTTAGTGTTTTTTAATTGTAGGGTGTGAGTTGGCGATGAGAGGGGGTGGGGGCGGGCGCTTACTTTGCTGTGTCTTCGCGTTCACCTTGCGAACGTGTGTGCTTGCTGCTTTTCTCCAAACCGAAAACCGACTGTGAGCCGCAGA